AAAAACTATTTCATGTCTGAACTGATTTTTTTTTAAATTTGCCATTTTCACACTAAACCAGTGAAGCTCAAAATCATCTCAGCACAATCCAATGAAGCACAATTCGCGATTCAATTTTGTCTACGGCAGTGTAGGTCTCAAATGAAATTTTTTTTCAGTATTTTTTTTCGAAAACTTGAAAAATTTTCTAAAAGTTATCCATCCAACACATTTTTGTAGGAGTTGTCATTTTTCCATAATATTTTTTTTTTTAAATCGGCAGAAAAAGTTTGGCCCTTCTCAAATGTTAGTCTAGATAAATTTTGGAAAAACTGAAGTGCTTATTTAGTCAAAGTCTACACATTCAGAAAATTTCATTGAAATCTGAGAGGGTGTTGCCAGCTTCGATTCGATTTGGCGCGAAATGCGTCTAAAAGCAAAACTTCAAGTTAAGCTGCTTTCATTTAAAAAGTTTTAACTGCATAATGAAAGCACCATATGATATCAGACTTATGTCGCGACAATTGAAATCAAAATGAGTTTTCATTATGATAGGAACTGCAAACTTTAAGATCGAATCGAATCGATCATTTTGTTAACCAACTTTGCTGGGGTAACCCTAAGGACATTTATTTCAATGATGACTCAAGATAAACTAAATGAGTGGAAACTAATTTGAGACTTAATTGGATACTGATTATGAATATTGAGTACGAAATATTGAAAAATTAATTTGTATAACTTTCATTAACAAATTAAGTATAAGAAGCAGAAGAAATTTAAACCAAAATGTATTATCGCAAGTACCTATTTTTATTTCATGTGTGCTAGAATTAGAAAAATTTATATCAAATCATAGGCTGCCCCGCAACACAAAATACAGGGTGGCAAGTGAACCAGGAAAACCAGGTAAACCAGAAAAAAGTCGGGAATTTATTTTCATCAGGAAAAACCGGGAAAAAACAGGAATTTCATAAGTCCACCAGGAAAATAATCTTGTTTGTATAATTTAAATAGGTTTTAAATTTTATGTATGTCAAAGTTTCTTTTTATAATCAGGTCAAAACTAACCATTTTGTTCAAGCTAAATCTTTCACACAACTAAACATTGATGAACAAAATTTACCCTGAGAATTTAGTAAATATATTTTGTATTTATTTTTAATTTAATTTTTTTTCTCGAATCAATTGCATGTATGATTTGTGCTTAATTGATAGCAGACTTAAGCAGTGCCGACGCCTAACTACTTTGAAGTATCTGTTCAACATTTTCAATAAAAATGTTCTATTTCTAGAAACTTCAGATAAGGCCTTCGAACTTCATGCAAGTTCTACAAAATTCGGGAAAGTCTTACAAGTTTCAGGAAAATCCTGTGAACTACTGTGATGACCTACGATGGTCAGGAAATCTCTCCGAACCTTCAGAGAAGTTCTATAAATTTCAGAGAAGTCTTACGAACTTCAGGGAAGTTTTTTAATCCTCGGGGAATAACTACGAATTTTACAGAATTTTCTACAGATTTAATGTAACTTCTACGACATTTAGGCATTGCTTAAAACTTAAGAATAATCCTATGACACTTATGGATCCGAGCTTCAGAGAAGTCTTCAATACTCTTGGGAAGCCCTCTGAACTTAACATAGTTATCCGAGCTCAAAAAAGTTCCGTAGAACTTCCGAGAAGTCGATTGAACTACAGGCAGTCCTACGAAATTCATGGGAGCTCCCAAACTTCAGGGAATTTCCAAGAAATTAAGACCCACAAACTTTTGGAAAACCCTTCGATATTTAAAGCCTTATGAACTTCAGGGAAGCTCTTTTAAATTTAGGGTCCTAATATATTCAGGGAAGTCCTCAGATCTTCGAGAAAGTTCTTCGAACTTGAAGGAAGTCTAACGAACTTCTGAGAATTTCTACGAGCTTCATGATACTTCTACGATATTTAAGAAATTTCTATGAAGTTCAAAAAACTCCGAACTTCAGGGAAGTCCTAAGATCTTAAAAAACGTCCTTCGAACTTCGGGGAAGTTCCATGAAATTCAGGCAATACAAACTTCAATGAACCCCCTCAGGAAAGACTTTAACGCTTCAGGGAAGTTCTACGAAGTTTAGGGAGTTTCTATGAACTTCAGCAGTCAGTCTTTTTAATAATGAGGCTCGGTAGCTCAGTGGTTACCGTTTCTGCTTACTGAGCAGAAGGTCGGGAGTTCAATCCCAGGCCCGTCCCCTTCCTTGCAATTTTTCACTTTGCCTTATTCTATACCCACTAGATTTTAATGAAAACAAATTCTTCTTTAACACCGATCGCATCACTTACCACAGTGTGGGTCCTGATCTAAAAATAGAAATTGGATGAGTGCGCGCGCGTGTGTGTGTGTGTGTGTTTGTCTATTATAATCGCTCTACCAAAAACGATCCCTGCGTGTGCGTGCAACCTTTCCCCCCACATCCAACATCCCAGTGATTTCTCGTGGAAGCGCAGAGGAATTCTCGGTTTCCTTCACAGCGAGTACCACGTCAACACATTCCTTCCCATTCCCTAGTTGACCTGCATTCGGACACGGCCGGCGCTGGTATTGCTAAATATTAGATCTCCAGTTCTTACACATTGAGGATGAATGTTAGTCCCAAACATCATCTGTTGGTTCTCTGTGTAATTGCAGCTGATCTGGTAATAACAGAGCAGCAACCGTGGGCGGTCAATCTGATTTTTTTTTCAGCAGTTAGTCTTTTTAATAATAAGAGTTATTAAACCAGCGTTGTTTATGAAATATTTTAATCATATGATTTTGATATCATGTTGTAATCAAAATTCCGCTAAATAAAATCCTTAAACGTTGACAATTTGCGGAAAATTTAAACAAACTGGAAATCCGTAAAATTGTTAGAAGCAAAGGTTTTTTTTTAAGAGTCCTCATTCATATCACACTTCGCAATTTCACCTTGAGATAAAGTTAAAAAAAATCGCAGTTTCAAAAACGGAAATCTCAAGATTTATGGGCTTATAGATCTCTGAATTTCAGACATTAGATATGGCTCCGCGCTAGTCCGTCGTATCTCAGCTTTTCTTCGTCATACACCCCTAAAATCGCTCATTTTACAGGTTATCGCAAATGTTTCAGTGTCGATCGTAATTAATCTTGTAAGCAAAGATGTTTTTTTTGCAAAAACATGAGTGAAAACGCTTTGCTATTATAGTTTTAGCACATAGAACGGAAATAGGCCCCATGATACGACGAAGTAGCGCGGCTCCCTACTAGCTTCTTTTCAGCAAACAATCAGATAAAGATTTCACGGGCATTCACAAGAACCTTAATTCCTATTTTGATTTGTGAAATTCCGCATTGCGCGAAGAATGATGGTACAAGGATTCACTCTATTATGTTTTATTAAAAATTGTTTATTTTTAAATAGGGGAAAAGTTCTCTTCAGCAATACCTTAACCTATTATCGTCAGGGGGGTAAACAACGTCCTTGAGAGCTCAATTTTGGCATGTGGATACATTGTGTTTCAGAGCAACTATTGGCCAAATTTGAGTGCTCTAGGACTTTGTTTACCCCCTTGACGATAATAGGTTAAGGTATTGCCGAAGCCAACTTTTCCCCTACATGGTTTTTATAACCAGGAAATTTTTAAATCATTGACCAGGAAAACCAGGAAAAAACCAGGAATTTCAAAATGGAAATTCACTTGCCACCCTTAAAATAGACCAGAGGTTCCAAGGGTGGTTAAAACGGCCCTGATTAGACTGTTTCTCATGACTAAATATCTTAATATTAGCCATTTACACAAGCATTTTCCTAAGTCTGTCCAAAATACATACATCATTGACCCAACAGAGCAATCAAATTACTCGGATTAACTCCAATGTCATTAAGTATGTATATACAACATCCTCACTCCAGATTGAACCACAGCTGCTCGATTCCTGAAACGATTCAATGCCTCCCCGTGCTCGAAACATAACCAATTAATACATGTGTTCATAATTAATTGTCACCCATGTACATGCCAAACTGCCTGCCGTGTGCTGTATCCGCATCGACAAATCCCAGAACCAACGAACGATGAGAATCACAAACCAACGACTACGACGACGACGACGACGCACCCAATCGACCAGAAAATTAACATTGGAATAACATCAACGACGGTAGGCATCTGGTCTCGGCCTGCACGATTGGATGCATCCCCAAGTTTTGCTTACACACCAACACACACACACTGGGTCTAATTGATACAAACATATAAACTGGCAGTAGTGTCACTACCGACTGGTACACTGCACAGAACAGAGCTGGGTGCAAAATCAATAATCCCAAAACGAAATGAATAAACGAACATCGTTGTCGTCGCCGTCGTCGTCGTCGCCGTCATCGTTCGCAGGGGGCGGTGATGGTAAATTGAATTTCAAAACAGACCACTAGTGTGTATATTTACTCGTAAAACCAATAACCTCGATGGAGCTATTAGGTCAATGAGCGTGTAGTATGTGGTTTGTCAATTGCGACTGCTACTGCCAGGAAAATTGGTTCCAAACTGGATACAGTATTCCACTTGTTGTGTCTGGTGTAGTCCGAATGGGATTCCTTCCCGCGTTCTCGATTATGCTTCCATGCAAATCAATTCTTAGAATTAGATGAAAAACCATCACCCAACAACCGCATATGATCGGTTTGCTGTTGTTTGCTTTTTTTCACACCCATCCAATTGAGTCGGAGCGTGTGTCTCAACCGGAAAATTTAAAGTGGTTTTTCCTGGCACAGTTCGGTTTCAAGCAGCAAACGTTCCCATGATGAGAGCCGCCCATAGATGATGGATCATATAGCTTATCTTCTCCACGCGTCACGCCCGCCCGCCGCCGTAATGGATCTTTGAAAATGTGTTCTATTTTTAGGCAAGCGAGTCACTAATGTACGTGTTTTTTGCTTCAGCAGCGGAAAGATGCGCGCAATAACGAAGTGTAACTGCACTGAAACTAAAATGTCATTTTTTTTTCTCTTTTCCATTTTTCCCACAGGATCCATAATGTTCCACGTTCGCCGACGACCTGCCGATTCGCAGCCGAGGAGGCGGAAGAAAAAGCCCCTCGGCGTGTCGAATGGCGGCGGGAATCTGGGCGGCGATCGGGAAGGTCCGCAGCTGATCGAAATCACCCACAGTGGCGACGGGGGTCGGCGGGTCAAACTGGGCTCGGAACCGATCGAGGTCGGTTCGGCAAACACCAATGCCCTCCAGCTGTTTGGCCCCTCGATCCAGGCACGGCACTGTCTGATTTCGCTGCACGACGGCGTGTGCACGGTGACGCCACTGCACGCCGACGGGACCACCTTCGTCAACGGGCATCACATCCAGCAACCGACGATATTACATGTGAGTACCTACTTCTTTTTTTACGACGACGTGATTGATTGATTCTGACATGCCGGTGGGTATCGTTTTTTTTTTTTTTTTTCGGGTGAAGGGCAACCCTTGGGGATTGTATTCAATTTCGAGATTGAATTGGGCCGGATGCAGCGAAACGCGTTGCCCTTGGCATTCTCTTTATTCAGATAGATTCACCGATGTGCAGTTTAGTTTTGGGTTGATTAACTGGAACTTTGCGTGTGCCCTCAATTTAGTGTTCTTTGAGTACTATCACTGTTGTGCATTGGGAACTCTCTAAGGCTACATCATGGTTTGTATGCAAATAGCTAGATATACTAGTCATGGCTATCCGTTCCTATTATGGTGTGTTTCAATTGTGGCCTATGGAATTCGCATATGCCATAATTGAAGTGTTTGTGACAATCATAACGAAATAATTGACGTCATAACCCTTTTGAAAACTTTCCATGATCGTGAATTCCAGAATAACCAGCTCGAGTCACCTGTTGTCATTAAAGAAAAGGTTGTTTGGCTGTCATGGCGGATTTGCCTTGTACAGGGTGGCCCACGAATCGGGAAAACCGGGAAAAATCCGGGAATTCGACCTTACCATAGGAACAATTTTTTACACCAGAATTTCAGGATAAACCATTAAAACAGGGTGATTCATTATCCAAATGAATGTCTTACTTTATTTGCTACATAATTTTCTTCTGTTTCCCGTCTTATTGTTTTTAGAATTTAATCACTCAGATATATTTCAAATCGATTTTTGTCGTTTCAATTTCAGATGTAAAGTGCATGAGCATTAGACTGATGCAAAATGTGACTTTTTCGCTCCACAGTGCTTAAATGGTTTCAAATCGGGTCCTGATTAGCCTCTCAAAGTTACAACTCAATTCGTTAGAAACAGACTTCGCACAAGCCATTTGAAGTTTACATGTAAATTACTATGGGAAATCTCAACTTTTTATTCATTGCCTTCTAGTATTTTTCCATATTGAGCTGCGAAACAGTTCGATATACATTCTTATAGAAAATTTTCTCAGCTACAACTTTGCTGAAGATCGTTTCTATGTAAAACGAGACAGGAAAAAGTTATTAATTATTTAAGAGATTGGTAAACTTATGACATGATCAAGCAGCAGCTCTGTAGGCATCACTGTATTTTGCAGTGTGACATAGTAGCCATGATTTGTGTGTCCTATTCAACGCCCTAGAAACACCAATGTTGCCTGCTGAGCAGTTGATTGAGCATGATCATAAGACATCAGCGCATTGAACCACTGATAACTTTCGATCCTTGCATTTAATCAAAAAGTGGTTTTCAGCTGGAAAAATTTCCTACAAGTACAGTTGAAAACTTTTGAAGCAGACCGATATGGTGAATTATTAGATAGACATGAACAAAAATCTTGGTTTTACCATAGTAATTCCCATACAAACTTCAAATGGTTTGTGCCATCTCAGTTTCTGACCAAATGGGTTCAAATTTTGAGAGGTTAGTCAGGATCCGATTTGGAATCGTTTAAGTATTGTGGAGCGAAAATTTCAAATTTTGCATCACTCTAATGAGCATTCAAAGAAAATATTGAAACAAATATTTGTAAAAACCTAAACCGAACTATTCTTTTCCAGGGTTTTAATTTTTCGGTATTCAAAATTTTCATGATATGAATCCATAATAACTTGGAATTCTGCTCTGGATTATCATGGATTTCTACTGAAATTAACCAGAAAACACTAACCGTTGAATTATTTTTGGAATTTCCTTGAAACCCCTTCTACGAATTTGATTGGAATCCTTCTTTGATTCCTGTGAAATTCTTTTCAAAATTTTCTCTTAACTCTATTCATAACAGCAGAAATCTTTCGAAATTTTATTTAGATCCCCTTAAAGTATTTCAAATACTTTATTTCTAATTATCAGCAATAAATTTTGTTAGAGCTCTGTGATGAATCAATCGCACTAGGGTTGATATTATCCCCAGAACAGTCTTAGAACACTTTTTCTTGTTGAATTCTCTTCACAATTCTCTTGTAATTCTTCTTAGAATTCAGCTGTCATTTTCCTCACGATCCTCATACAAATCTACTCAGAATCACGTAGGAATTTTCTTAAAGTTTTATTTTTTTCACAACTCTTTTTGAAATCTTCTAAAATTACCTAAGAATTTAATTTAAAACTCGCATTCTTCTGCACAGAAAACCCTCCAAATTCATCTAACAATTTCTAAGGACTTCATGTCAGAATAATTCTGGAATTCTGCTCGAAAATGATGTGGGAATCCTCCTCAATATATGTTTGAAATCAACACTTAAATTTTTCTAAAAATTCCAGGGTTTGTTCGGAAGAGTCTATAGATTGTTCTGTAATTTGTTACAACCCTTAAAATGCTTCCAAGTCGCAGAACCTTGAAAATTATGACTCCACTACCCATAAGTATGATTTTTTTTTAATCGGCAGGATTGTTACGACAACGCGGATTTAGCGATTTTCGCGGACTTCGCAATTTTCGTGGACTTCACGGACTTCGCGATTTTCGCGGATTTGGTGCGGATTTGCTTATCAGATTTGTTATGGCGTGGATTTGTCCAATAAAATTTGAATTTTCTATTATATTTTTTATTTATAAGTCTCCATTTGATTAACATACTAATAGACCAACAATTAGTTAAACATAAATCATATTCAAAGAATGAGTAAACTACCATTAGCCTGTTTATTTTCATTGCCAGGGTAATTTATTCTCAGGGCCAGGGCGGTTAAATAGTTCCACCACTTCAAAAGCGACAAAGCAGCTTGCTTTTTAAGCTCTGACTGATGTTGAGTTGGTAACTTAGTACATCAAGTTGATCTTACTGCTACCGGATATCAAAGAGCAGGTTCTTTTTGTGATAGGATCGGCAGAAGGGACGGAAAATTTGCTGAAGTTTCTTGAGACGAATGAGTTTATTCTTTTCGACATATATGATAGGATTGATTCATTTTTGGTCACTATGATGTCAAGAGTTTACAGTCCAGGAAAAATAACAGAAGCTATCAGGAACAAAAACTAAAAGAAGACTATTTTCTTTAGGATTCAGAAGTTATTGTTTTCAAATTCATACTTGATGCTGCTGAACATCAATTCAAATCATCTCAATTCAATAAGAATGTTAAAGAACACACGAAATCTTTTGTGTCGTATTTGTTTGCCCAAGATGTTCCCAATGAATTTGTTCGATTTGTCAGTAGCTTCAAGGTTCGTATGATCATTAATAAGGACCATCAAGGAAATCGACCGTTTAGTCAAAAATAATTGATTTCAAATTAGACAAATCTAAGATACACTAAGAGATGAACTAGCCCCAGGCTAAAAATCTCTATAATAAAGACTAAAAAAAAAAAAAAAAAATCTAAGATACACGAATAACTCGTACTTGCAAGTGTGAAATTGGCAGGTCAAACGTTTGATTCAGATTGTGATTTGGAAATTCTGGATCCTCTATTTCGAGATGGAAGTTTCTCAGAACTCAGCACATTGTTTAACATTGTAACATGCGTATCGCATTCCAATGCAGAAGTAGAAAGGAAGTTTTCACTATCCAGATGATGCCAGAGAACCGAACTAGGCTTAGTGAACAGCATTTCAATAACCGTAAAAATATTTTGAGTGACATGCATTTTTTTTTTTTTTTTTTTTTTTTTTTGATAATGATGTAACCAAATTTGTTGTTTCGAAGGACTTAATTTTGAATGCCAAGTTCGCGAGGACGAGGTAACGGCGCCGGTGGTGTAGTGGTAAGCGTGATTACCTCTCACCCCAGCAGGCCTGAGTTCAATACCAGTCGGCGCCGCCGGGATGTTCTGAGGCATAACATCTCTGATCACGCCTTCCTTCGGATGGGAAGTAAAGCCGTTGGTCCCCGGTTCATGAGTTGATGGGTCAATAGGTAGGGTCCAGGTGTGGGAGCTGCCTTCCTGGCACGTCGGTAGCATTGGTGCTCAGCACGGAAAACAAGATCGACGGAAAAAACAAACCAAAGGAAAAAAAAAAAAAAAAAAAAGTTCGCGAGGAAATCTTACGAAACTAAGCAGGAACAAAAGAAAGAAGGTGAATTAATGGAAGCTCAGAAAAAGAAAGGAAGTTAGTCAGACACCACATTAAAATACAAGAAAAAGGGATCAGAAGGAAAAGAAATACAAAAGAAGATATTTTTAATTTGATGGAAAAAGAAATCAGAACATTGACATCCAATAATCCAGAAACATCATTCCTAAAAGTTCTTTTGAAGCAAAAGATAACAGGAGGAAAAATCAGAAAAGGAAAAATTGGCTACAATGAATGCTAATGAAGATTATTAGTGTTTTGATGCATACATTCAATAAAATAAGTGCTTGTTATATCATTGACAGAAACTTAACGTTCTCCTTTACTTTATTTGTTGTCCTCCTGCAATCCTATATCTTAGGTTATTTATTGTTTTCGTCTGAACCTGGGCGCAAGTCAAATTTCGGTCGACTTACGCGATTTTGATATAAAGTCCGCGCGGATTTGGCGCGGATTTAATTTCAAATTTCAACCCTGAATCTATGATCTTGATTTTTTTTTTAAACACATTAAAACTTGAACTGGGAAAACCGGGAATTTCAAAATGAAAATTCACTGGCCACCCTACTTGTAAAATTAGCAATGATAGCGGACATTTGTGGCTTCTATCAGTCGAGTCCTTAATGGATTTCCTCCGAGGCAAAAATGCTTCGCAGCGCGATGAACAGGAAAAGGTCAAGTGTGGTCGTCGTCCGGATTTCTGACATGCTTTTTCGGTTGTTGTAAAATGTAACCCTTTTTTATAATGAATTGATTTACTGTCGTGCGCTAAATGAACCATTCGCAATTCGCACTAAGTGAAACCGAGACCCAACGAAGGCTATCGTTGCTGATGACTATGCAGCAAAATGCCAGAGATACCTTTAAACGGACATAAAGGAAAGACTTTTCCAATCGATTTCCACTTCACAG